AGTTTTGGCATGAATGAAAATTTACTACATTTTCTTATGACAAAGGGAAGCTTACTTTAATTTTATCGATAAGCGATTGTAAACCCATTCAAACTATCGACTTCTAGTATGCATAATTAAAAATTTGTAAATTATTCAACGCTTCCATATTTCATACAATGTAGGATACTTAAAAATGCCTCACAACCACGTTACCGATTGCTGATATGTATATATTACACTGACTGGCAAAAGTTAAGCCGAAAAATAATGAGTTGGAAATTTTTATGAATTCTTTATCTGAGATACATAGATTAAAATTAAAAATAGTCTTTTAATAAGATATTCGAAGTCTAATAAGTCTAACTTATTGTTTATTCATACATTAAATCAAGTATTATCTTACCATCATATATGTATCTCATGAGCTAAAGAATATATAAAAATTCTCAGATAACCACTTCGTTTCTTGTCTATTTTTTACTGAAAATATATTTGCCATGTTGCAAAAATATAAAAAGCTTTTAATACATTTTCCTCATACCCAAATGTCCATACCCAATGTCCACAACGGCTAAAATCTAACCAACGTAAAAATATATTAACCAAAGGGTAAACAAAAATAAAAAAGTTTCCAATAATTTCAATTATCAAGATAAACGTAACAAGAAAACAAAATAGAAGGTGATAAAACATCGAGTATCGTAGAAGAGATCAACGTGTCCAACAAAGATCAAGGTCTACAGTGAGAGGTCTGGCAGAGGCTCTCGAGAATCGCGCGATTTTCTTTAATATTCAGCGTCCACACGAACACGAAGAAGCGGAACACTATGCAAACGAGCTTCAAGGTCGCGCCACCGTTACATGTGTCGCTGCCTTTACGGTTGCCGATAGCCGAAAACCTATCGATATTCCATCTGTGTATATCCAGCGCACGTAGCCTCACTTAACGTGGCCGCTCGTTTCCCTCATCTTTTGTCTACTCTATGCCTTAACTATCTTCTCTTCGATTCTCTTCTCGCGCGTGTAATTCCTCGCGTGCTGACACACAGTTTCAAGGCATTCGAGTAGCTTGTTTTTTTCACGGAACATAACCTGATTTAACAAAATTATGAAAAGAAGAACCTTCGATGAGTTTATATCGCATTATCTCCGTTTCTCTAGCGCTTGTAGTTCTTCACGCTTGGATTATACTACTATTACAAGGTATGCGAATATATGCTTGGTTTCCACGGGGTACAACTCAGTTTATTTATTATACCTGTGATTTAACAGTAGATCTAGCATGGACGATCCAATACCATGGACTGGAAAAAATCTGAAAAAATACGGAAAAGGATCTGAAGGCATAATGGTACCCACGGTAATTCCAAAATCTCGGGGCTTAATTTAGAATCCCAAATTAGGCTCTAAGAAATCCCGCTTAATCCCTTTTAATCTCTCTTAATCGCAGATCAAGTTTCAACTCCATTTTTCGTAGACAATGCATCAAACCAGCTGAAAACCTAGCCACAGTGTCAACAATGGATTGGGAAAGGAGTTGAGGAGCGCTATGATAGAGACGTTTCTTCGGTCACGTTGATTCACGATAACAAGGTGTCAGCCTGACTTATAACGTGTGATAAACATGAAACGTGACATTGAAATGGTATCTGCTATAGATTTATCGATAACTAATGCACTTACTGAAATTGGCGATGATGGGAGGAAATGGTAGATTCGTTTCAGATACGAAGATCGTTGAGAGCTTCGAAATTAAAGATTTCGATAATTTTCTATAGTCTCGTTCCTACTTTTATTTTTTAGTTCTCATTTTTTAAGAGAATGTGAATTAATTTATTACTTTAGGTATAAAGAAAAAATTAATTTACCTACATGATAAATTATAAATAATTAAATTAATTACTCTAGGTATAAAGGCAAAAAAGAAAATTAGAATGTTAGGAAGTCAAAAGTAAACTTTTTATAATTCATGTCAAATTTATATTTTTATACCATTAAAATTGAAAATAAAATTATTAATTATACGAAATTTGTATAAAAAAGATATTTACATCCTCAATAATAATTTTGTAAACGAAATAAATTTCTTTTGGAATAATGAATATTCCATTAAACTAATAAACGATATATTTTCCGTAGCGTCAATCTAAACGACTCGTTTCGATAATAATAATATGTTCCGATAAGGACAACGCGAAATAGCAACGTGATCGTGTATTATCAATGTCATATCCATACGAAGAAAAAATTCCAAAATTCAAAAAAAGGAAAAATGACGTTTCTTTGTGAAATTGAGGTGAACGCTGAAACCGAGAACGCAAAGCATCCTCTAGTTCCGTTAACAACTTCCGGAAAAATCACGAGTCGTTTGATTCCGTCGCGGAACCATGCAATTTCCTCCGCGTTTCCTGACATCCTTTCCCTCGAATCGCGGTAATCAATGTCCAGTGAGGCATTTAAACCATCACCCCAATCCTATTGAAATTAATAAAAAAACTAAAAATCCTAAAATCATTCGTGACAAGCGAGAATGCATTTTTGCAATAATAAAAACAATCGAAGATCGAATAACAATTAGCGACGTTCTTGGAAAACAAACAAATTTTAGCGAATCGAGTTTGAAAGTGGAAAAAGAATCATACCGACGCCAATGGGCTTTTCGACAATCGCAATTTAATGGGACAAAATTTGAAACGTGTAGACATCGTTAGCCATGGCTAAATAGACGGTTCAGTGTTCGATATTTCGATTCCAGAGACGTCAAATGAAATTTCAAGGATAACGAGATATATCGAAAACTTCCAAAGGAACATGTTTCAAGGATATATAATGATATACATGCAGATTAAATTTTCTTTCGAATATAATTATAATAACTTGAAAGTAAATTGTATATCTTTCAAGTTTTCCACTGATAAAAATTGTATTATCTATCACACAGAATAATTATAGATATATAATTATAGATATATAAAATAATTATACCTCCACGTAGAGACAAATTTTTTTTAATAATGTCTCGAATAATAATTCTCTTATGTGGAAATTCCTATGTGTGCATTACACGGCTTACGGAATCAACTATGTCCCAAACTAATCATGATGCACCCTATCGGTAATTATATGAAACATCCTACTACCCGAATCTTTTGCTTTCAATTTTTCATACGATACACCCTACGGAATCGAGAAACCTTGCCCTGAATATAGCGCACGATACCACATTTCCTAGCATAACAACAACACAGCTTTAGAGCGAGCAAACTCGTCCTAGCGTGTCTACTATTCCTTTGTTTCCACTTTGCAAAAATACAGATACGTGATTGATCCTTGCTATGACAAGGTTGTTGCTACAGTCTCTCAACGAACCTCTGTCAATTTATTTTCGATATCAATTCAATTAATCCACGATAAGACTCTCGAACGGTATAAAAATTTAAATAGGACTTACTGTACGGTGGTTTCTCCGTTTCCCAGGTGAGTGTACCACGATGAAAGTAGACTTTGCACCGTTTCTTTTTCACTATGAACGTATTTAGGAGCACCGTCCTGGAGGACTGGTCCGTGGTCTCCTGCATCATATTGACGGCTAGCTTCGGCTGCCTTTCCATGGAGAAATTGTTCAGCGAGGAGATCGCAGAAACGTCATCTCTACACTGATCGACTCGTGAAACGCGAGAAAATCGACACGGAAATCGAAACCAACGCTCACGAGTGAAATACGGACAATTAAACTACCGCACGACTTCACCCGCTCGTTAGCTCGAGCACGACTGCTATGGACGATCGACTCTCTGAGAATCGTGTCAAATCGTATACGTTCGGCTTTTCTGATACACAGCGCCATCTACCAGCTGCCACTCTAACTATTGAAACATAGCTCTCTCGGTTACTGAATCCATGTTCACCATAAACGAAATAAGATATAGATATATGATCACAAACAAGTTGTAGAATAGACATAACTCTTGCAGCATTTTTGTATCACAGATTTTAATGACATTAGAGCTTCCTTACTACTTCTATATCATTCCCAACGTTACAGGTTCAATGTACAATAAATTTACGACCTGCATAGTGATTGAAATTAAAATAAAATTTTATTATAAAATTATAAATAGAGTATTGGATATAAGAGAACATATAAAAAACTCAAAAAGAGCAAAAATTTTATACATTATCTTATTATACACTATATTTATAATTTTGTAAATAAATTTAGTTTTAATGTCTACCACTAGTAATATTGTATGTAATATTATTATATGCTAAATCGATAATATTGGAATCGGCAGTAAGTGATAAGAATATTTTAGAAACCTTAGAACGCATAACACATGAAATGCACTGGTTAATAGACCTATTCTGAATGTTATAATATAAGTAGAGGCGATATTATAGATTTTTTTAGTGAATTTAACCATAAATGATCTTTTCGTAGCTGTTAACTTCACTATCTTTAATAACTGAACAGAATATAATTCCTAAGTTCATTACGATAAAATGCAGAGGGCGTTAAAACCAGCACGATTTTTTTTTCAATGTCGGTATGTCAGAATAATGCCTTTCACGTCCTATGCTTAAATTTGTTTTGTTTAATTAGTTTATTATTAAATAAGATCAGGTGATCTTATTTAATGATTCATTCTAACTATTTGTTTTGTCTCATTGTTTTATAACATATAATTTTCCCTAATGATTTACTATCGATAGCAGCTCCATCTGTTGGATGGTTAACCTTACCGCGTAAGGGTAACACGGATACCTGAATAGCTGAAAGTGTGTCTCCATATTCCGGTTCAGACGCGCTAAAAATACCCCTACATGAGTGTAGCTTGTTACAATTGATTACTAACCGTTTTGCTTTCTCATTTAAAATAATTCTTTAATTAATTTATCCACGTAAAATTTGTAGTAGATCATTCTATATCGATTATGATGTAATAAATACTTTATCAATATTAAGCCCGATATCAACAAGAAATTTAAAATAGTTATAACTTACCCAGGGTCCTATAATGCTTCATTCATCCCTGGAGACGACAGACGCGAGGCGACATGACGTTTTGTCGGTGACGCGACAACTTTCTGATATCGAACCGTATCCACTGATCAAGTATTGTTTTACGCATTGCGGCGTTGTATCCCATCTATTATTCGACGTTCAGCAACTCTGGAAACGAATCTGAAAGCAGAAAAAGTGACGAGTGAGTGTGATAGGAGTAAGAATAGCGTCGAAGACATCGCGTGTTCGCGAACTTCAAGTGACACAGGCATCATGATGCAGGCTACAAACCAAGCAATGTAAAACTTACGTATTCAAACTCATGTGGTTACAACTTTCGTGTAGAAATTATGAAAACTGCTTGTTAGTTTAAGAAATAATTTTCTTCCGAAATTAATTATGTTTTTATTTCATATAAATAATACTTCTTCTTAAATACTCGATATTATTCCAGAAAAGAGTGACGTATTTATCTATAAAAACAAAGAAAAAGAAAAAATATGGATGAAACGAGGAATTACATAAATTTAGTATTAACGGTTAAAAAATATCCAGCGTTATATGATCTCAGTTGCAACGATTACCATAACAGAGTTGTACGAAATAAAATGTGGAGAACAGTGGCACAAGAAGTAAACGCTTCAGGTAAGGATTCTTCAATTTCCAGGCATATCTCCCGAGATTCTGTAAAAATTTTACCACATGTTTAAATTGCTGCATGTTTTTTACATAGCCGCGGAATGTAAAGAAAAATGGAAAAACCTTCGCGCCAGTTTTAGCAGACATTTAAGAAATCAAAGCACAGCTAATTCAAAATCAAAGAAACCATATTATATGGCAGATTACATGGATTTTCTGCTTCCTTATAGCAAACTTCGCAGGTAACTGATGCGCAATCGAAAATCGGAAACAGATCACGTGATTCATCAAACTATTTTCCTTGCTTCTCTTTCCTATGTTTTCAGGCCAGATGATAGTTTAAACGACGAGGGACCAATAGCGCAAGAAAATTGGAACGAAGAAGAAACCGCCTCTGATACGTCCTCTAATTTTGAGAAATTGAACAAGACTGATCAAAAAATGCCAGAGTCAGAGAGAGACGGTGACGTAAGAAATGAAGAGTATGCCTTCTCGAGAAGCAAAGTAATCAGACTTACAGACGATAGACTATTGTCACACAGATGTACAGATAATTGTGTTCTCACTAATAGACGAGAACTCGATGAATCAATCAACGACGCGGACTTGTTGTTTTTTAAGAGCCTGCTTCCAGACGTACGACAAATGTCGAGACAGGAAAAGAGAAGCTTTAAAATATCTGTCCTAAGTCTGATAGATAAGATATTAAATGAGAAGGAATCGCCGATGTCGATCGAAAATGATATTCCTTGTTCAATAGTGAAAAATCAACAGGACGAAAGAGTAGATCAGTTTTAAAATAAAGAATTTTGTAAAAGTTTATAACATTATGAATAAATGTAGAATATTATAATAATATAGACTGACTAAATTATGTTTAATAAAATAAAGTAAAATATATCAGCTTAAAGGGATATTACTACATTTGCGCGGGAAACCTTTATACTATTGCATATACTAGAATAATTCATTATTTATCATAGTATTAGTACATTATATGCATTTCACTAAAAGCTGGCAAAAAGTGTATATATTATTACTTAAAAGAGTAAAATACCTTTTAAATACGTATTTACAAAAATAAAGAAACTTTAGAAACAATATAAAGTGAAACGTATATTGTCTCATGGCTGAATATTACTTTTTTCCCGTTCTCTTCGATCCCATGACTTATTTTGGTTGCTACGTAAGTTCACAAAAGATACTGAATAAAACCGAACAAAAAAATTTACGTTGTCAAAGCATTGTCTAAATGTAGTTGAGAACCACTGAAAAATGTTGATTGGTGAGTCCAGACAACGCGGCATCTTCGAGCCAACGGAAGAAACTAATGAAAATTGAGTGTATGTTGAACGAAAAGATTCGACTATTTCCGGACATCTATTCAGAAACAATTAAATTTTACAGAAACATTCTTAGATTCATTTTATATTCAATGCACGTGCATATTCAACATGGTTCGTTACAGGCAAATTACCTCCATGAAGTATATTTTGCGTCATCTCTCTCAAGGAAAATCACATTGTCTACAATCGTCACTTTGAGCGAAAAATGATTGTTTATTTGATAAACATTAAATAATAAAGTATTCCATCTATGGTATCACTTTTTAATTTTTCTCAAACATAGATAAAATTTATTAAAAATTTGTTCATTAAAATAAAATATCATGGAAATATACTAATTCTTAAAATAATATAAATCTGTATAGAAAAACAGGTTACAAAATCACTAAACAGTTGTCCATTTATAAGAGCCCGCCATTACTACAACTGGGTATGAAAGAATTTTAAATCAGATTGTACCTTCATTGGCGTACGTCTAAATTTTTGTCATTATACATTTTTACTTCAAAAGTCATGTCAACGAAGATATTCAATCCATGAATTAAACATCGCTTATGAAAGAGGAAAAAAATACATTCACATTAAGAAAAAAGAATACCTAATTATCAATCAACAAATAAATGAAACATTTTGTGGTTACATCTACTGATGTAGCAATTAAATTTCAATTTTTTAATGGAAAACATTTGCCGATCACTTTTTAAATCTCAAACTAAACAAATACAATGAATAAATCTTCTTCTAATTACTCTATATTATAAGTCAAAAATTTTGAAAAAAATTTGCTACTCGAGCTTGAACTTATCAAGAGCAAAGCATATACACGTCACAAAGGCACTTGCCGCGATAGTTCTTAACACGATGAAATCCGATGTCACGAGTATGCAACACGGGCGAAACGTCATCATATAGACGTACCTGGAGACCAAGTGAGAAACGCGCAGGCGTCAATTCGAAAAGACCAATCAAAATACAACAGTGCCATGGAAGAGACACTGGGGGGACTCTTGGTGGCCTTGCGCATTCTTCCGATTCCGTGAAAGCTGGAGGCGCGTCCATTTTGTTAGCACGTACGATCCCGGTTAGTCGACGCCGGTGCAAAGTATAATTCTCGTTTGCGGCGAGTTCTTGTTACGAGTAGTAAGGGTTACAAAGCCAGTGGCTGTCTGTCGGCGGCGGTCGTGAATTTGTGTCTGCGTATCGTGAGCATAGAGAGCGCAGCCGGCAAGCGTGAGAACCTACTTGTAGATATCGCGCAAGAATCAGAGAAGCCGTCGGAAGAGAATCGTTGTGCAGGGCCGCGAAACATATCGCGTACCCGGTTCGTCGGTAGTTTAGTTTTAGCAAGATGGCGGAACTACAGGGAACCCCGGTTGCTCAGGACGCCCTGTCCGTAGCCCAGTTAGAGCTCGGTGGAAATCCGAACGCCTTGGCTTTGCGTAGGCCATTTGACCCCGTGGCACATGATCTCGACGCGACCTTCCGTCTTACGCGGTTCGCCGATTTAAAAGGATGAGGGTGTAAAGTCCCTCAGGAGGTTCTCGGGAAACTCCTTGAGGGACTACAGGCCGACGATGGTAGCGCACAAGATCATGAGCATGCCCATTTTATGCACATGGCCATTCCACGCATTGGTAAGTACATTGCTTTTGTTGCGCGCGTACACAGGAGTCGGTGTCGACATATTTGATTTTAAACCGGGTCTTAATTTTATCGTTGTTAGATATTTATGATTTTTATTTGTTACATTAACATAAATAATCGAACATTTTTATTATTAAATTGTTTTTTCAACTTCATAGTAATATTTTTTCATTGAAAGAAAAAAAGAAAAAAAGACGAACTAAATTACTAGTTACGGAAATTTTTCCCGGTTAAAATTTTTCATACTTGATAATATTTGATAATAACACTTAAATATATGTACTATGTATTTAGTATACTTATTGCAAAAAATTGCCACCTATTTTAAGAATTTCGATTATAAACAAACAATTTCACTGAAAATACCCAGGGTGCAAATATCGCAATAGGCAGCCCTATCACACCAGCAGCCATGTTATCGCCTCCCGCCCGATTTCTCCCACGCCACCGGAAATACAAGTGTTCTCAACCTCTTGTATTACTATAATACATATAAAACATATAATATTGGAATCACCAATGCATATAGATTTTTTACTAATACTTTAAAATATATGTATAAATAAACAATATCTTGAAACTTCAAACTATTATTATTCTTTTTCTTTATTTAATTCTAAACAAATTTATATTTTTTTGTTCCAGGCATTGGTATGGATTCCTCCGTGACTCCACTGAGGCATGGAGGGCTTAGTTTGGTACAAACTACAGATTTCTTCTATCCATTAGTTGATGATCCTTATATGATGGGTAAGATATATATACCATTATATTTCAATAATGTTATATAGTTTCTATAATTACATTTTCATATTTCATATTCATATGAGTTACCATTTTAAATAATAAAACTTATATTTGCTTTAGTAAGGATAATAAAATTTGTTTTGTGACATTCTATTTGACACTGTTATTGGAGTACTTTTCCAGGTAAAATTGCATGTGCAAATGTTATCAGCGATCTGTATGCCATGGGTGTTACTGAGTGTGACAACATGCTGATGCTGCTGGGAGTCAGTACAAAAATGACTGAGAAAGAACGAGATGTTGTTGTTCCTTTGATCATGAGAGGATTCAAAGATTCTGCGTTGGAAGCTGGCACAACAGTAACAGGAGGTCAGACAGTTGTTAATCCTTGGTGTACGATAGGTGGTGTTGCTTCTACTGTTTGTCAACCAAATGAATATATTGTGTATGTACTTTACAATGGATGATATACAATTACACAATTTCTGTTTAAACAATAACTGTTTATATTTCAGACCAGATAATGCAGTTGTGGGTGATGTTCTTGTTTTGACAAAACCTCTTGGAACTCAAGTTGCTGTGAATGCCCACCAGTGGTTAGATCAACCAGATCGTTGGAACAGAATCAAACTTGTGGTCAGTGAAGATGATGTAAGAAAAGCTTATCAGAGAGCAATGGACAGTATGGCTAGGCTTAACAGAATAGGTATATGTCAAATTGTGTTCAATAAAGGTAAAGAAATAATGACTGATTTTTTATTTTACAGCGGCTAGATTAATGCATAAATATAATGCGCACGGAGCAACAGACGTCACGGGCTTTGGCCTTTTAGGACACGCACAAAATCTAGCCAAGCATCAAAAGAACGAAGTTTCCTTTGTTATTCACAATTTACCTGTTATCGCAAAAATGGCAGCTGTAGCAAAAGCATGCGGTAACATGTTTCAACTCCTTCAGGGTCACTCGGCAGAAACTAGCGGCGGGTTACTCATTTGCCTACCTAGGGAACAGGTTTGTAATATCTTTCTTTTAAATTTTGTATTCAAATCCTACTTAATACAGTAGAGTATATTACTTACCATTAAGTACTCTAAAGAATGGTAGGAAGAATAATAGAGATTTCCATGCCGATATACTATTGTGTAGTATTTTGGTGCTGTCAACTCTCTTACACTTACTTACTTTACTGGTACATAATAATGAAACGTCTATTATTGATAAAATCAATTTGAAAATAATTTTTAGGCTGCTGCATACTGTAAAGATATTGAAAAGCAAGAAGGGTATCAAGCATGGATTATTGGTATTGTAGAAAAGGGAAATCGCACAGCAAGAATAATCGATAAACCACGAGTAATCGAAGTGCCAGCTAAAGAAAAAGATGGAGAGCTGTGGTAAAGGATCATGAATGTTGGCGAAATTCTTTTTTTTTTATTTACCTTCATGTATTTAGGAAAAATCACATGCAACACAGGAAACACGCATTTAAATAGATTCACTATCGTACCAGATTCAAAGCACTTACATGTGCACCATTATTATGAAGTTCTAACAAATTTTCAATCTTCTTACTCGATAAACATTTGAACGAATATTCGTAATAATTTGTTATATTTTTTGTCCCGTGAATTTAAAAAATGAGGTATAACAAGAACGATTTATATTTATCTATTATTTTTATCAAGGTTCAGTCCCAAGTGTTAGCTTAGGAAAGTAACATTTCCCTTTCTTCTTATTCTCTAACAACCTTTATCAGAATCTGGGAATATTTTGCATCAAAATGTTTGTAAAATATTCATAATAATCTTTCTGATAATTATAAACGCTTATTCAGAACAATTTGTTAAAAAAAAAGTACGTGGAAGCAATGAAATAAAAAAAATAAGTTTAGTTATAGTTTTGGTTTTTTTCTTTTTTTTTTTTTTTTTTTTTTTTTTTCCGTTTAAGATTTAAGACTCAATACGTACTAAGTATAGCCCTAGGTAGCACTAGGCTTCAGCTTCAATTGCATTTGATCAAACTTGCAATATATTGAGTGTCATTTGGGTGCTTAGTGTTAATGAAGAATGTTAAGATACACAAATGATTGCTCGTGATTACACAGATTTATAAATATATTTTAAGGGGATATACAATATCATCAAAAGGAAAAAATGGTTTTAATGATATATTGTACATTACTTCGATTCACGGATTTAATAGAGAAAAAAAAGTACATTTAAATCATAGTTATATAGATGCAAATTTGTAAACAGAGACATTACTACCCCGTAGTATACAGTGACAGGCTTTCAATGCCAACAAGATTTTCACAATTTGTAATTTCGATCTATTGTTACATAGAATGCGTAAGATGTCCAAATGAAAAGAAGGCCTTCTCTAGTTTTCTCGTTACATACGCTTTTGAAAATAATTATAAAAGAAATAAGAAATAGAAGAGATCGAGCACAGGCCCTAATGTTGTATTACTTTTTCATATGAATAAAGTGCTACTTTGTCAATAAAAATAACATGTTATTATTATCATCAAACCAATCTTAAAAAATTTTGGTATGAAATGATGTCTAAAACAAAAAAATCAGTAACCGCAACAACATTATGAAGTGTGAGGAAAAAAATATTCTAAATGCATATATATATATATGCATTCATTGCACGGCAGCCAACAATCAAAACAAAAAAACTAGATTCTTCCATTCATTGGTTAATCGGTTATCTAACAATTCAGCAACTGGCCGCCATCGTGGTTCACAGGTCATTCTTATAGATAGAGTAACACGTTATGTTTGAAAGTATTGTAGTTGCTACTTCATTCTCGCGGAAACCATCATTGACTGGACAAGTATAGAACAAATAGAGGGTTGACACAAAGATTTAATATATATTTTCATTTTGGTGTTTACTAAAGTGACGATTTAATGGTAGCACTATCCACGTGGTGTGCCAAGGCTGCGGCCTTCAGAGCCGTAATACTAGGTGCCCCTGCTTCCGGTAAGGGTACTATGTCAGCTCGAATTGTCAAACATTTTAAGGTGACTCATATATCAAGTGGCGACAAGTTACGACTAAATATGAACAGTAACACCGGTATGTCTAAAAACACAAATCATTACTGTTAAGTTATATCAATGAGAAATCAGTTCCTGATATCAGTTACTTATATTTCTTAAGATTAAAATCTTTGCACATTATCTGTTTACTAAAGTAGTTTGTCAGGAATGTATGTGCTTTGAACATGAAAATTAGCGTTGAAATGCTATATTTCCTGACACATAATTCAAAACACGCACATTTCTCGATATATCCTAACCATGTTAAAATTATTCCCGTTTAATAATCTTACATATGAGTAATATTTATATTACCATATCCATTGAGAATTAAATGTGCTTGATAGTAATTGAATGAAAACTATACTATATTACTGTTTTAATTTTGTCAAGTGACTAATCTAATTTTTAAATATAGATTTTTATTCTCAAGCTACTATAGATTCGTGTTATTAAAATTTAATGTAACATAATGTATATCTCTATTTCTATTGAACTATTTTATTTATACAACCAGGAAAACAAATACGACCTCTCGTCAATATAATTATCGTTCGTTCCAAAGTCCATTTTATTGGGAGTTAATGGAAAAATAATAACGACGATAGACATAATCGGAATATATAATCGTTTTAATATTACAGAATTGGGCAAAGCAGTTTCCAAATACGTGCTCTCCGGTAACTTCGTTCCTGATGATGTAATGATCTCAATGATAACCAAAGAAATCGAATCAGTCGGCGATCAAAATTGGTTACTAGATGGTGAGTAATCCGATGAAAATTGAAATTTTATGAACGCTATTTTCTTTATCGTGAACCTTTAACGACCACATGCGAGTGACTAAATTCGAATAAATAGTTGGGGCACTGATACAGGTTTTCCAAGAACATTAACGCAAGCGGAGAAGTTGCACGACATACATCCGGTAAATTTGGTGCTATATATCGACGTACCCACTGAGGTGATATTGAATCGCGTGAAAAACAGGTGGGTCCATTTGCCCAGTGGGAGAGTTTACAACGTCGGGTTCAACAGTCCGAAAGTGCCGGTAAGTTGGAACGGAAACTTCGACTAGTATCCAAACGTGTCATTGGCAACGTAACTGGCAAAACTTCATAAGTAGATTTTCCTTCCGCTTTAGTAATTGATACATTTTTTTTTTTATCGCTTTTTATATCTTTAAGATTTTTAATTGTTCTTAATTAACATGATTAATTTTCATCTTGATTTTAGGGTAAGGATGACGTAACCGGCGAACCGTTAAGTAAAAGGGATGACGATAAAATAGAAATTGTACAAGAAAGACTAGAGAAGTACGCAACTGCGACTACACCAATTTTATCGTTTTATAGTAACCTAGGTGTACTGAATAGTTTTCAAGGCAATACTACTGACGAGCTATGGCCACATGTTCAAAAGACTATTACAAAATTTTTATCACGGTTGTAAATTACATATTTATATTTTCTGACTGACAGAATGAATTAGTCTAAATATTAGTTAGTAATGATCATATGCTTCCATTTACAAAATGTAGGTATACCGTAACGAGATAATATTACCTTACATGTGCACAAATATTCATGAACTGAATTAATGTACATAAATTGCGGAAAAAGAACTATAAGTCTATTTTTCTGTAATTTATATATATATGTACATATTTGAAAGTTGTTCTATTTATACGTATATATAATGGAAATCTAATTTGCATGAATACAGTACAAACTTTGTCAATTTTTATCTACAATTTTTACTTATTTTATGTATATTTGATTTAATTTTTCTTACCGAAAGACGCTATTTGCATTATCGTATTCGATTTAGTAAAATTATAACTTTTTTTATTAAAATGTCAAAAAATAGGAATTGTGTAATTGTAAATATAATTTACGACCAAGTTTTAGTTATCATGTTTAATAAATACTAATTGTGAAACGTTGTTGTATATTGTTATACAAAGGGATCAAAGATGTTTAAAAACCGATTTTAAATTGGTGAAAGATATTTGTTGAAGTTTATATAGTGCAAATGTATTAACGATAATAAGTAGGAAATAAACAGTGAAACATGATGTTTAATGTTTTTTCCGTATTTATTTTTAACTGTACCGATATAAGAATTTTAACAATTTTTAATTGTATACAGACCTTAATTAATATGAGTATAATATATCTTATATATCACGCTCACATTTCTTTTCGTTTGAAAATTAAGTCATTCTTTAAATAATAACAGTGTCTTAATATTACATATGCTTGTTAATTACGTTTTTATTTCATAACATAAAACGTTATGTCAAGCGCAGTGATGCGTCTTTTTAAGAACTTAGTATAAGTTCGGTATAGTCATCGAAACCGGAAATTAGAATATTAAATAAATAAATAACTTAGAGTTGTATTACGAAAAAGAGTTTAAATTAATTGAGGCTTAAGTACTATGACAGGTAGATATGGTTGAATATATAATGCTCGCCAGTGTTTAGACGCGCATCTTTGACACAAAGACAAAAAAAAAAAATGCTTGTATTGCATTTTGTAAAGAATTTAATATTGGGGCGTTAAAAAATAAATTCTGTCAGGAACATTTCCGTAAGGAATTAAGAAATTTTTATAAAAATTACTCTTCATAGCAAAATCGTCAACTTACGATCTACGCAAGTTCTCGACGTGATTATTGATGAGAAAGAATAAATATCTTCTTAGTTATGATAATTTTATGTCATATGCTAAATTAACATCCTAACGATATTTAAAAGCAATAACTTTTGAGATCAATAAACAAGATAAAAAAAATTGTGCAACAACGCATTCAAATATAAAAGCCGCATTAAATTATGATCACAGAACAATATATTGACGATAATGCTATTCAAATCTATAAATGCATTATCGTAAATGGAAACTATTCGATACATTAATTGATGTCAGTCGTTCAACGAGTATGTTGAAATTTAAAGATCATGTTGCGGCATAAAATCTATTTAGAAATTAGAATTTAACTGTCTAATACGATGTAACGTTGTCACCTACTAAAGTTATCAATCGATTTTTTTTCATGTACATATATGGACGAATGAACGGAGAATTATAATTAATGACGAGCATTATTATCCTTCTCCAAGAACTATCCATGAATGCATTTTAGATACACGACATTTCCTTTTTTATGATTTTTGATAAATATCTCACTGTAATAGTTCAAATTCTTCGCACTCGTCAAGATCATCATCGTACGTTCCATTACCTGTAAAAGAGGTCGTAGGGGGAATTATACTTTCTGCAATTTCAATTTTTTGATAGACATCTCTCCCGCTCCCTTCGCAAAATAAGAACATCGGATAGTCAACCTTTTCATTTTCCGGCACTAGATACTGTAATATCGAAAATACATGGTTGAATTATCAAATTGTCCACAATACGATTCAATGATGAAAACGATTATACATACTGAGGGAGCAATTTCCATAAAGTTTGTAAATTGCATTTTGTTATGAAAATAAAATCCTACACAACAGCTGGGATCCATTTTCGAAATTAACATTTTTCTTGGCGAAGTACAATGAAAACTCGTCAAAGGGAAATTATCTTTTAATACATCAACGGTTTCTTGACAGTAATGTGGATCTAAATTAATTAATTTATCTTCCTGGAAACCAATAAAATAAAGTGAATGCCTCGGTCGGCCACCAATAACGCCAATACAGGTATCTAGTGTAAGTAAATGTGTTAAGCATGATGCATAAACAAGATTTAATTTGTTAACACCAAGCCTTAAAGGTACAAAGAGTATAAGAGATTTCCATTTGCCATCTGGTGTTTGGCATACTTTTTCTATGTCTTGCAGATAAACTGTAAAAAATTACCATAAATTACTGTTGAGAACATACAAAATATTTCTCATTGAGTAACTTTATTTAGTTAAAGTATAAACAGCTCAGTTATCGTATCACCTGCACAATCTTGAGCAACATAAACAGCCAAGTTACTGAATGCTGGATGTCGTTCTGCTGCATGCGTTATTGCTTGACTCAAGAGATGAGCAACAGAGCAGGGACCATACCAATCTCCAGCACGTTTTCCCCACAGGGCACCCAAAGAAACAAGTGTGTGTATAGAAAATGGAGAAGTAGTTTCAGGTAAATCTCCAAAAAATTTAATTATTAATCTATGATTATATTCATCCAATCTTTGTTGTTCTGTTTTTATTGGTTTATCTGGCAGCCATCGCCATTCTGTAAGTAAAATATGTTACTCTAGAAGAATATGTGTATGATATAGAGAATCAATGATTATTAGACTACTGTTAAGGTACTGACAATATAATAATTGTAAATACAAAATATTTTCATTTACAATCACTATATTGTATAGTTCATGATTAAGATTGATAAAGAAAATAAGTGCCTCTTCCAAGAAAATGGCAAACCAGTGCCTGTGCCAACATCATTTGACCACTACGTAGCATACATCCCCACCCACAATCAGTGGTGAATGTAGAGCCATTCAATATAGGAAATTCTCTTCTGTATGTTAGCCAAAGACGTGAGGTGAAATCCTTTTTAAATTCTTCTATGCCATCTTCAAAAGTAATAGCATCTATGGCTAAAGATATCTCACTTCCAGTGTCTAAAGTTTTCTCTGCCTCAGAAGCTTTTTCCAAAAATTCTTCTGGCTTCTTACGATAAATTTTTCCAAGTAAGTATACTGGAGATTCTTTTGAAAAATTTGGTTTTACTACCTTGATGGTCCAGCCTTTAAAGAGACCAAATTTAATCAACGATTTTTCAAATGAAACACATATTAAGCAATCATGGAATTGAGTCATACTAACCATATTTAACATTATTCCACATAGACAATAATTTTGTTTTGACTTTGCTATCAACTTCTGTACTGACATTAGAATCATCCATAGATAACCCATTGTTCGTAGTACCTAATTGTATGTTTGGGACACGGTCCGTAGCAATCATTCCAGAAAACAGTCCTATTGTACTATTACTAAAACCTCCTAAGAATAAAGCAATTTTTGATACATCAGTACCTTATGTGTTTCTAAGAATGTATTTTTCTTTAATCGATTTTACGAAAGAGTTTGTTTCGCGAACAAAAAGATAACAAATACGGTCGCCAAGTAACTGGTCAAATTCTAGTAATAAAAAAAACACGAGTGATGAAAACGAATCATCGGTATTAGCAACCATAAACGACAAAGCAAGAAAACGATTATATGCTACAAAATTTTTGTATATGATTAACTCCCACTAAATTCGGCACTTACCTAACCTCTCCCTGGAGGGCTGCACCTGTCCATTCATGCCTAATAAGTAAATTTTAGAAAGCATATATTCCAATACATTTAAAACCGCATAGAGACACAATAACATTTTCATACGCGTACAATTACGGTTGCACGGACATCGCACTTAATCATAATTTTATTGCATTCCGTACGAACAACTGGTTACTATTGTCACAGAATAATCTAACGCGATTATGCATCGGCCGATGCACACGCCGAACTCGACACAGGGCTTATTACCAGCCTACTGTCAACTTAACGCTTCATTTCCTCCTAGTAATATATCAACTCCTTAAGACACACTGTGAGAATATGTTTTCTTTAGGACGCGAGTCAATCCGAGAATAAACGAAACAAGTACCACGTCGCAAAGCAAACGATCAAAAATAGTTTAAAGACACTCGAGCCGCCAACAGGACAGAACGCGTGTTTACAAAGAGCGTTGTGAAATTTAAAGCGCCCGTTAAGAACATCACCAGCGCCGTTCGACGGCGAAATCGAGCACTATGAATATGCATGCAAGTGCATCAGTAGTATGTAGGGATTGCGCTGACTACATCTGATTTCGAAATGGTGGTATCTTATCGAAGAACACACACACACACACACACACACACACACTTGAAGAGGCTTTAATTATTTGAGCAAATAAAAGAAAAAGTGCTTGATAATCTTCTTTTTTCTATCGATACATGATCATTAGATCGTATCTCTAACCGTTCATTTTTTTCTTCCTTTTTCTTACCGATACAACTTTAATTAATTATCAAAGTGAATTCTTACGAATGGAAAAGAATTCCAACATAATTTTTTTTTAATAATACATCTTACATATATTATTGGCAATTGCAACGTTTTAGTATTTTGTGTTTAATCATTTCGTATTATGGTACTACAGACAGATATTAGCTTATTCTTAACACTGGATCGCCATTTCATTAATTAATACCTCTTCTTTCGAGAGGCTAACAAACGCCGTGCTGCTTTTAACCGGAATTAAAAAAATCTTACGGCAACGGCCGCGGTCCGTTTATTGAATAAAAAACTGAACAAGAGCCAGAGTGCTCTGTTTAACTTATTCAAATTATTAATTAAGAATTCGCCTTGTTCAAAATTTCCTTCTTGTTATCATTGTTCGAAGCTCGTGAGGCGGAAAAGAACAGAAAACGTAACGCCATTATTACTCGAATTCGGTAATTCCTCTTCTTTCGCCCTTCTTCAGACTTTTTGAATTCTAATTGATTATCGACCAGCCAAACTGGAACGAAAAAAATGCTCTACCCACGACAGTTACCAGGAGAGTAGGATTAATGGAGAAATAACGGAGCGCAACCGGGGTACATTATCCCTTTTCATCGCGGTGTAATAATGCACTTTTGTCAGGAAGAACCAACGGAGAACAGAGAAAAAACCGGGTGAAAAAGGAAAGCAAACAGAGCGACGGTGTGATGGACGGTGCGGTGGAGGGTTGGTGGACCGTGGTGGGGAAACGGATGGTTCGAAGGAAGAGGCAGGGATGAAGATGGCGAACAAGACAGAGATAGAAACAGGAGGAAACTGTCATGCGCGTCTTGTCGCGGAATAACCAATGAGATACGCGTATCCTGGCTTACCTCATTGATTACCACGTTCGCGCTCGTTCTAAATTTCACATTGTGCCCGTTGTCGCGCAGCCGTTGCAAAAATATGAATCGCTACCTCGTGTTGAGCATCGGTGCTTCGTAGGAGCAAAACTGATGGAAGGAAATGGGACGGTGTGCCTGTCAGGACAATAATCTCTCTTTCTGGCTAGTGTTGCATTAACAATAGCCGCTAGTAGTTGTATTGAAAGCTTCGGGCCAAATCCCCATATGGGTGAGGGGGGAGGGGGATACTACTGGGTAATTCGAGGAGTGGAGGTGAGATACAGGAAAGAGAAGGGATGTGTATTCCTAAAGCTAGCTCTCCGTACTTAAGCATATACACATATATACATATGTGTGTATGCCGCTAATAAAAGCCGAGGCAACGCTGGAAAATCAACAAAGGGACATACATAGCGGGGATAATTATTTGTACAATAAGTATAACTCGCTCTTGTTTAGACAACTCGCAAAGTAGGAGGGGCCGAGTTCAGAGATCGGGGGTAGTGGGTAAAGGGGGTGGCAGTCAGACGGAAATTAGGTCATGCAAGAATATCGACGAACCGACGTAATCACGGTGCACGGCTTGAATAAGGACATTAACGAGTCACGCTTCTCTCCCTTAAGATCCTTTCCACCGTGGCGACGAACGAACTCGCGACGGCGGTGAAGGGCGGCAAGGAGAGGGGGCGTCACGTTCGTCGGCGATCGATTCGCCATCTTGTGGCGTGCCGATCGAACCCGAGGATCAACGGGACCGAAGGTCGTTCGATATCGATGTCAGGAACGCGTACTAGTTCGACGTGGAAATTGCAGGATTTAACACTGTCAACGGGTGTTAACGAATACTGCCGTCGTCACAACGACAATTCTCTTTGAAAACAGGGAGACTCATTAGCTAGACTGTATTTCTATTCGAACGGCGAGAATGCAAACGTGTTTTGGGCACATCGGACGCGGTAATGCGGACTAGCTTTGCGCGATAATGGCTCGGCAGAATCGATGGATCGATCCGGGCACCAACTGCAGGAACGTCGATGCTGCGTGGCAAATCAAAAGTCTATCTCTCGATCAAAGGATACTGACCGAGCTGTTAATTAGTCGAGAGATTTGACCTGTCCGAATTGTACGGCAGAAAGCTGCTTACGTTTCAGGTTACACGCAGAAGCGATACGAAAACGCGTTGCGTCGAAATGCTAGGGCAACTATGTTGAAACGATCAATCGACAGTTCCATTATACGCGGCAGTAGACGAGTAGAATCAGCGTTCGGTGTATGGTCGCAGGGAAGCAGAGAAAGGCAACCGGAAGGAAAATAAATCGCTCGCGAAATACGCGGCCCTTGCGATTACGTGGATAGCGGGGGCGCCACTGGTACGTATATACGAATTAGTGCACGCGGAGTTAAAACAAACTCGCGAAATTCGTCGAGTCGGCCGAGCGATTGATTAATATCCTGGCACAGCTGTTCGTAGAAACGCGTTCGGTGAAAAATCGTTCTCGCGTAAAGGGGCCGTAAAAGATTGGCAAAGTTTGTGGAAACGGGGCAGGCGAAACGAAACTTTGACTGTGCGGATTCTTTCCGCAAGAATGAAAATCTAATATCGACCAAGAACTGCGAATGTAAACATTTATCCACGCGAAAGAAACGTTATCGGATCGCGCAGTGACGAATCGAAATGACGTTTCAATAGAATATTATTAACGCGTTACTTTGTTTCCAGTTTAGCCTATCTAATCTCACCGGCAATGAGGTTTTTCCCATGAAACTTCCTGCTGTCTCATCTTTCGTAAGAACATTTTCCCTCACTCCAGTCCCTTGCCGCCTTCCACGATTCTAATAATAATTTCGTTGTTAATCTTCGCGTCGTTTAAGGAGCCTGTTCGAATCCCGGGCGGACGTTGAAGTAGTCGGACCGGAATATCCGGCGAATTAGCCGAGTCGACGTGGCCGCGCCAGCCGGAGGATTTCGTTTTAATTAATGCACCGCGTCGTTGTCGTCATCGTCGTCACCGTCGTCACCGTCGTTGGACTTTTTGACGCCCCGTCGCGGACGCTGCGCCGCGTTTAAGGATATTATTTCCCTTACAGCGCAGTTTATCCCGGGACAGAGTAAATCCTGCAGGCGACGCTTCTGCCGTCGTGTGACGTGTAAAACGCTGTTTAACCTATCGCGCGAGCAAACGGCCCGGAAGGCATGACCGAGGACAGAATCGTATATAGTCGCTTTTGTGCCCATATGTCTCGAAAAAAAAAGGAAAAAAGAAAAAAAAGAAAAACAAGACACGTACAAATAACATCGAGCAACGGTCCGGGACACACTGGCGCGTCTGTTAATTGCAACTTCCATGGTCATCTTTTTGGACTTCGATCAACGAACAACCGCGCGAGCTCGATTCGCGCGGAAGAACGAGCTACAGCTGCACCCGTTTAACTGTCGCACGGTCTGTGCAACGCGACAGTTATCCGGGCAGGTGGATTTTTTGCCTCTCTTTTGGATTTCGAAAAAAAGCGAAGACTCGTTGCGGGTGAAATCGAAGAAAGCAACCGGTGGGGATATACCCGTGACAGTTAACCGGGCAAACGGGCGACAGTTAAGCGGGTATCGCTGTATCGCGTTTACCGAGGTGTCGACGGATTCTTGTTTACATTTTCGAATCTAATACCTACTTCAGCTCGACCATCATGCGTTTCGATCCTCTCGACCTTCGGGCATCAGTGGAGACGCTACTCGTGGTCGGTCGAGCACTCGAGAAGATTCGTATCATGGATCCGTTTGTTACGGGTGTATCAGGAATATCTGGAAGGCCAGAGACGTGTCGGGCGTAAAAATAACCCGTAACCCTTCCGCCACTCGATTCCAGTCGTTTCGAAAATACACCTCGACTTGTTCGCCGATTTTACGGCCTAGACGCCGACCGTTCTTTTTTTAAATTTTCTCAGGGCCGTGTCGCGATGCCCGGTGCCACGCGATCCGTGTCGATTTTGCGATCGGAACGCGGGCACGTCCTCGCGTGAATTACACCGTGTTGCCATAATTTGCAGCCGCACGTGACGCAGCCGCGACTGACGATTGTTGCAATATTGTTACAGCCGCGGGTTAACACGTTGTCCAAACACGTCGCGCCGAGTGTTCGATTTGCCGAAACAATTATGATCGGTAGCGAGAGTGACCGTGGGGTACCAGCAAGGTGAACACACGCTGTCCTTCGCTTTCAATTGAATTTATCTCGTTTCCAATTTTCGTAAAACGTACAAGTGCGCCTTTTGCACTCTAAATTTTGTTATAAAATTGATGACACTTCTATTCGAATATCTAATATTAAATCTAACCATGGCCATTGGAGTAATACGAGAAATGTCTAGTTCCACGTATTTTACTCTTAGCAATCTGGGAACAATTTTCTAGGAAGCAAATTTAACGAAATTTATA